GCTCTGAAGACAGTGTGGTCATCCATCACGGCCTTAATGATTGCTTCCAGAAATGGCAAGAGAAAATGTCCCTGACGATTATTATCTGCCCGACTTCCAAACCCCATGAAGTCCTGGAAGTCATAAAAGTTTAAATAAACACCGTCTCCGGAAGGACTGGATCGGGTCTCGAAGCCATTATGTGTCCTCCTCTGAAAATCCTCCTCTGAGCCCAGGGATGGGACATGGACCCTCATTTGTGGGCATGGCTATAAGCCCCGGGCTGCAAACCACAGGGCTGGTGGTTCAAACCCACCTACCACACTCGGAAGGAAGACAAGGCTGTCGGCTTCTGCGAAGGCTGGGGGACGCTGAGGGGCAGTCCGCTCTGTCATCCGGGATGCCAAGGAGTCGGCATTGACTTGCTGGTAGTGGGTTTGGTTTGGGGTTTGGACTGTGGTGTGGTGGTGATGTGCGTAGCAATTAACTGAAAGGTCTGTGGTTCCAACCCGCTGCTCCTCCCCCCCAAAAGGTGAGCCTCTCCCCCTGGGGACCACCCCCTCCCCTGGGGCAGTTTCACTCCATCCCAGAGGCTGATGAGTCAGAATTGCTCAGCTTTGACTGAGTGGGGAAGGGCTGGGCTGACACCCACTTCCATCCACAAACAAGGTTGGCAGTTCTAAACCACCAGCCTCTTCTTGGGATAAAGATGAGGCTCTCTGTTCTTGTAACAAGTGGAGCCTTGGTGGTGGAGTGGTTACATGGACTTGATCCACATGGTTGGCAGTTGGAAACTATCAGCCACTCCACAGGAGAAAGACCGGCACTGCACTGAGTCAGCATTGACTGGATGGCAGTGAGGAGAGTGACAGTCCGAGAAACCCACAGGGGCAGTTCTACCCTGTCCTGTAAGGTCACTGTGAGTCAGAGTAGATTTAATGGCAGTCAGTGTGTTTATTGGGGTTTGTTTTTGGGGGGGGTTTGGAGTTGCCATTACCAAAGAAGGTCTTAATAACCTTGTTTGACCGCTGCTAGTGGGTACGCACTGGGCTGCTAACCGCAAGGTCAGCAGTTCAAGACCACCAGCCATTCCTTGGGAGAAAGATGAGGCTGTCTGCTCTGGTAACGATCTACAGCCCAGAAACCCTCGGGATCCCTGTAAGCTCCGTCAGCATGGACCTGAGGGTGGTGGGTTGGGTGGCAGCGCGGGACGGTTTAAGCTGCCAGAGTCATGCTTGGTTGTCACTGTCCGGTCACCACCGTGCCCTGCAGCAGTCTTCTTTGCCCTTGCCCTCGCCCCTCGACGGATTTCTCGGTGGGAGACGCCTTCCTGATACCTGCCCCCCAACACCTCAGGGTCCCTCCTGGCACTCTGGCCACTGCTCCATCACCATGCGTGCTGTTGAAAGGCTGTGTCTGTTAGTCACTCCTTGCCCATCTGCTCCCCCCTGCGACATCTGCTGAAAATCAGCTTACCAGGGAACCCCCTCCCTCCCCTCACCTGGCAGAGCGCATCTTGGCTGGCTGCAGGTGCCTGAGGCCCTCGGGGAGGGAAGTCTTGGCAGTCTGGCTTATTGCCCACCTGGCAGGTGCCTGAGCCCCTGGGAGAGGGAAGTCTTTGCCTGTCCCAGTGAGCCCTTAGCAGGGAGTTCACCTGCAGGTGCTCAGGCTTATTGCCTACCTGGGGAATGGGTGCCCAGCAACGCCACACTCCCTGGCTCCTCCTGTAACCCTACCTTCCAGGGGCACCAGACTCTGCAGCCACCGCCTGCAGGAAGCCTGCATTCTCCAGGGCTTGTTTATACTGAGGGGTGAAGGACTGACACCCAGGTCCCTTCTGGAGTGACCTTCTTTGAAGGGACCACGGGCTTAGTCTGGAGGGATTAGGATGAGGAGAGCTGGCAGGGAATAGAAGTGTCAGGCTTGTCCACATACTGGAACAGGGGGTTTGGAGCAGATGTCCACCCGCTCCCTCCCCTGCCTTCCGAAAGCATCCTTGCTCCACCCTCCCAGCAGCCCCCACGGCGCCAGGCTGGCCTCGGTGGTTCCCATGACAGCAGCCGCGGGGGCTGGCGGGAGGAGAGGCCCCAGTGGGAAGCAGGGGCAGCTGTCGGAAGATGCTGAGGGCTGCCAGCTGGGGTGGGGTGGTGTGTGTGTGTGCTGTGGAATAATCGTAGCAATAACAATAGCAACATACACAGCAGTGCATATTCTACACACCACACCACCCCTAGAGCCTCTGAACTCGTACTAACATCCTCACCCCCATTTCACAGTTGGGGAAACGGAGGCACCTGGGAGTCAGGAGAGTCAGCTAGGAGCTCACAACCGTAAGGTGGCTGAGACAGGATTCAAACCCAGCTTCCCACAGGCCCCGGCGGTTCTGCTGCCCCCGGGGAGAATGCCCTGTAAGATGTACAGCCTGGGAACAGGGTAGGGGCGGGTGCATGCTGCCCTGAAGGGCCACTCTGAGTCAGAATAGACTTGAGAGCAGTGGGTTTGGCCCCCAGTTCCTCTGCTGGTACAGTTGTCTGTCTGTGCAGCCAGCTAATCCCGGGCTCAGTTGTCACCTCCTCCTGGAAGCCTCCCCTGAGGTCGTATGTCAGGGCCAAGGATGAACTCTCAAGTCCAGCTTGTCCGTCTGAGTCTGGGAGCGGCCCAAGGCTGCTAACAGTGTCACTTGAGCTAACGAGCATCAGGAGCATGGCGTGTGCCGGGAATAGGAATGGCAGCCTGGCCCTGAATGAAGGCCCTCATGGCATAGTGGTGACACACTGAGGTGCTAACCATGAGGTCGGCAGTTCAAAGCCACCAGCTGCTCCACTGGAGAGAGACGAGGCTTTCTACTCCCGTAAAGAGTGACGGTCTTGACACCCACAGGGGCAGTTCTACCCTGACCCATAGGCTCGCCGTGAGCTAGCGTCGACCCACGGCAGTGAGTTTGAAGTGTGCTTAGCGATGAGTAACATCCCCACCAGGTCTCACCCGCCACGCGGATGGAAAACGAATAGCAGGAAGATTGATACCAGGCAGTAACAGAGACCCGGTCTCAGAATCCCTGAAATAAACCGGCCCTCAGGAGCTGGGGGTCTCTGGTGGTGCCCTGGTTAAGCACTCTCCTGCCAACCCAAAGGGCGGTGTGTTGAGCCAGCCAGAGGCACTTGCAAGGAGGATCTGGCCACCTGCGTCCCAAGGAGCAGAGCCAGGAAAACCCTTCGCCCCACAGGTGTGCTGGGAGGCCCACGGGTCCAGATGAGTTAGAGCCCACCTGACTCCCCTTTCTCCAGGAGAAAGATGAGGCTGTCTGTGCCCCCTAAAGAGGACAGCCGAGGAAACCCGACGAGCAGCTCCCCTGCAGGGTCACCACGAGTTGGGATTGGCTCAGCGGCGCTTGCCGAGAGATGCCGCAGCGCCGACTTGGCAAAGCTGGCTTTGGAGCTGAGGCATCAAACTTCAGGGCCCCATGAACCTGGGGCGGGGGGAGTTCCCAAGGTCAAGCCGAGGGCGGGCGTTGAGTGAAGGGGGTCATTTCCCCACATCCGGTCAGTGTTCGGCTCACCCTCCGTCAGAGATGAGTGGAGTCTTGGGTTCAGGTCTCACGGTCCCCATGTCATTAACACCACCTCCCTGTACCACCCTGCTCCCCACGCACTCTTGTTGAGGGGAAAAGAGGGACCTGCAGTGTGAGGTGCCCCCATCAGCCATCCCCTGTCACCTGCAGCAGGACTATCTAGAGGTGCCAGCCTCTGGGACACCTGCCTGCCCAGGCAGCTCTCGGGCCTCCAAGGCCCCTCTCCCCCTTCCCCTGATTGATCAGCTAGAAGTCACATTCGGCTGGGTTTTGTTGGTTTGAATTATTTGATTTTCAAATGTGATCTGGAAATTAACTCCAGCCAGACGCAGGGCGTGCGTGCGTGTGTGTTCTGCAAATGGCAGGCGATGAAACAGAAGCTGCGTGAGAAGCTGCCCAGAGCTGCCAGGCGCCGGGACACCCCCCACCCCCACCCCAGCATGTGGGAGATACAGCCGGCTTTCATTCTCCCTGGGTCTCCCAGGCAGCAGCCTCTGACAGGCCTCCGGAAGCCACGTCAGGGGGTGGGAGGTGGACCCGCGAGGACTTGGAGCCAGCGGGAGGCATCAGCTATGGGGCTCAGGCTGGGCTGAGGAGTGACTTGTAGCCTCTCGTAGGGCTCATCTGCATAACGGGGTTCCTGAGGTCCCCAGCCCTGCCAGGGGTGGGGGGGGTCTGTGGGGGCCTTGAGACAAAGCAGACTCACTTAGAAGTTGAGGGGTGGGCACGGAGGTCAGAGCCAACAACGGCACCATGGTAGAAAGGCCTGGAAATCTGCTCTCAGAAAGATAACCAAACTAACAAAGCCAAACAAACCCCACTGCCCTCAAGTCAGCCCTCTAACTGGAAACCCTTATCTAGTGTTTCTGAGGCGGTCAATCTCCTGGGGAGCAGAAAGCCTCCACTTCCCCCCTCGGAGCGGTTGGTGGGTTTGAACTGCCAGCCTCATGGTTAGCAGTCCAAGGCTTCCCTGATAGCACCACCGGGGTTGAAAACAAAACAACAACACAACCGCCAGATCGTTTTGCGCTGCAACCGTGGCAATGAATCCCCACGAGATGAGCCGGGGCAGGCTCGTGCCAGTGAACGTCGCCAGCAGTCTGTTGATTGTGGTAAGAAGTCAGGACCCGGCTCTCGGTGGCCGGGGGAGGTGTATCAGCTCCTGCATCCTCACTTGTAAAATGGGTGGAACACCCCTTAGTTTCAGTGCCACCGTGAGGAGCCGGTGAATGCCGACTGGTAGGGGATGATGGCTCAGATGAAGGCCCAGAGGCCCCGGCAGGCACTGAGTCTCTCCCAGGGGAGATTTGATGGCCAGCAGGGTTGGGAGAGTAGAGGAGACAGGGGTGGTATGCGTGAGCCTCAGGACAGCCATGCAGGGTGTCCGGTCCCAGGAGTGGGGGGCCCGTGCCCTCCACCTGGCTCAGCCTCACCCTCCATCTCTCCCCAGCAACTACACGGCCCTGCTGGGCGTGTGGGTGTACGGCTTCTTCGTGTTGATGCTGCTGCTCCTGGACCTCCTCTATTTCTCGGCCATGAACTACGACATATGCAAGGTCTACCTGGTACGCTGGGGTCTCGACGGACGCTGGATGAAGCAGGACCCCCGGAGGCCGGCGGGGGGCGGGCAGCCCCAGCCTCCCCCGGGCCCCCTGCCACAGGCCCCCCAGGCCGTGCACACGCTTCGGGAGGACGGCCCCAGCCCACCACGGATGACCTTCCAGAGCTCGTCTGCCTGGTGAGTGGAGGTCCTCGAGGCCCCGGCCACTTTGGGAAAGTATCTTTGGTGACCTTGCATAGCCTGGGTTTGTGCTGCTGCTGGTCTGTCTGACGCTGTCTGTCTGACTGGCTGCCTGATTGTTGGTGCCTCTTAGGGTTGATCAAGAAGGATTCTGCTGCTGCGAATGGGTGGACGGAGGGCGTCTTGGTGGTCCTGGCTACGCCTTGAGCTGCTAACTGCAAGGTCATCAGTTGGAAACCACCAGCCGCTCCAGGGCAAAAGATGAGGCTTTCTACTCTTGTCCAGGGGCAGTGCTACCCGGTCCTGGAGGGTCCCTGAGAGGCAGAATGGACGCGATGGCAGTGTTTGGTTTCTGTTTTGTACCAGTTGAAGGCACACTATGCCAGGCAGGAAGTCAGAATGAGAGGTGCTGAGGAACGAAGCTGGCACCTGCATGCCGCGTAGGGAGCTATTGTCTGTAAACGCTGAGTTTCCTGACTGCCAAGGCGAAAGGGGAGATTAGATGCCTTTCCAAATTGCTATGGAGACTTGTTTTCTTTCTCCTAGCACAGCGGTTCTCCACCTTCCTCCACCTTCCGCACGCAGCGACCCGCTCATGCAGTTCCCCATGCGGTGGTGACCCCAACCCTAAAATTATTGTCGTTGCAACTTCATCACGGTCATTTTGCTGCCTGATTGTTGGTGCCTCTTAGGGTTGATGAATTGGGTGACCCTGTGAAAGGGTCGTCTGACCCCCATAGAGGTCGCAATCCACAGGTTGAGAACCGCTGCCCTAGCATTAGACTGTAAAAGGAAGCACATGGCCATTGTGGCACCCCAGGCGAATTGGGGGCAATGCTGCTCAGTTCGGGGGAGACTCGGGGGAAGAGAAGAGAGTAGCAGAGTCCAGTTACACCCCCCCCCCCCCCAAGAGGTGTGTTCAGACCTGGCTTTATCCACTGCGTCTCCTGTTTTCTCAGCCCCAGGCTGGTGGGGGGTAGAGGGGGGCGTTTAGCAGAGCCGGGGGTCTGTGCGTGTGAGGCTCTGCTTGGGTGACTGCGTCATGCCTGTCCCTGTCCTTTCTTTAGGAAGTGTCTGGGGCATCCTAGGATTTGACTAAAGGCCAGCACTAAGGAGGTGCTCACCTCATCTCTGCCTCTTGCTTGCTGGAGACATACCTGGGCTCATGATGCTGGCGGGGGTGGGGGTGGGGGTGGTAAGGCAGCACTGAGTGGGGAGCTGGGTGGCAGGGCCTGGATGCCATGAGGGGTTACTGTGAGCACCCTGGGTGGGGAGAAGGGGCGACGGGTGCCACCACCACCATGGCCCAGTGCCACCCCCCTTCTGCCCCCAGGAAGCTGATGCTGGCCTAGGGAGGCAGAGATAGCAGGTGTGTTGTTTTAGCATCAGGGTGGGGAGCCTTCTTTCTGCCAAGGGCCCTTTGGACATTTATAACATGGGCCATGCTGGTCAAACAGTGCATGAACTCATCCCTTGAGGGAGGGCTGGGACTGCCGTCTTTGGTGACAAAGGTGATGTGAGCTGGTATGGGTGGCCCATACCCATACTGGGAGTGCCCCACTCCTATTTAGCATGTATGGGTGTGCCGGGCCTGTGCCCCATGGGTGAGGCTGTGTGTGCCCATGGGAGGGGCAGGGGTCCCCCACACCCAGCCACAGGAATGGGCCCCACCACACCTTCTCTGAGCTGTCTGGGTCTCCCCCTGCATTCCAGCTTCTGAACAGCAGTCCACAGGAGATGGCCTGGGGCACTGGCCTCCCCTCAGTCATCCTGGTGGCAATCCACAGTGTCAGGATCAGAGGGACCGAGGGCAGGGTGGGGAATGTGAGGAGTCGGGATCACTGAGCACTACACGGGGAGCAGACACTACCCGTGCTGTGATCCAAACATGGCTCCCATCGGTCTTGTTCTGAGGAAGGTGGTTGGTGTCGCCAGTCGCATCACGGGGAGGTGGCACCTGTGGTGGCCAGGACTTGGGCCCCCCTGTGCTGCTCTCCGTTTGTGTGACCACCGGTGCATGGGTACCCGGCGTTGTCATCAGCCAGCAAATGAAAGTGGACACTCCCTGGACTATGGCTCCTGACCGGGCATCCGCACGCCCTGTCTTGGTGCAGCACCAGGGACGCAGAGACACCGTGGGAGGCTCTTTAGGGCCTTTCTCAGCTCGCTCGGGGGAGGGGCTGGGCAAGCGAGGGGAACGGGGCTCCTGTGGGCTGGCCAGTGGATGCTCTTGGGGACTCTCAGTAGTTTCATGCCCACTTCCCAGGTAGGTCAGTGGACCCTCACAAGTGGACCTAGGTCACGTCATGATACACGGAGAAAAGGCTGCCGGTGTCAAGGGTTTCATCTTGATGGGATACACAATCAACGCTTGTGTGAGTCTGGGTAGATCAGAGAAACAAATTCACAGACACTTGGATGTGTAGAAGAAAGAGCTTTATATACAAGAGCAATTGAATATGGAGAAAACATTCCAGCCCAGTCCAGATCAGGTCCATGAGTCCAATATTAGCCCATATGTCTGATACCAATCTATAAAGTCCCCTTCTGACTCATGCAGCACATTCAATGACGCTGACTGCAGGTAGATCACAGGCCAGTGGGTGGGAAGTCTTGTGGATCCAGTGGCACTGTAAGCATCTCAGGGCTGGCGTGGGTCTCCACGTGGCTCCTCTGGCTCCAGAGCTCTGCCAGCATTAGGGAACTCCATTAGGCTCTTTATCAGGGATGTCTCGCAGGGAGTGAGCATGTGTCCTGCCTTCAGTGAGCCATTTATCTCCCTAGTGCCTCCAAATGAGGTCATCCAGCTGGGACCTGATGGACAGGCTAAACTCCACCCCTTCACTCTTCAGTCTCAAGTTGACAGCAGATGAGGGAACTACCACAACGCTCACAGAAGCAGCGGGCAAGAGATCCCAGGACACATTGCCTTGGGTCAATCCGCTGCACACGACCGCTGCAGAGTGTTGAAGAGTAAGGATGTCCCCTTGAGGCCTCAGGTACACCTGACCCCCCCTCCCGCCCCCC